TGTCACATTTAACCCAAATGTAGACGTTTACACTGAAAAACGAGACTGCAATAGATTTTCTGGTTCAAACAGAATACTACTTTCATGTTCATCTTCTTTCCTGTTTTGTATGTTGTGTGTAGACAGTATGGATTTTCCCTTGCTTTTATGTTTGCAATGTTTCTATATTCAAAAGAAATAAATTAGAAATGCCCAAATACATCTCTGAAAAAATGGAATCAATTCATGTGACAATGTGATAAAAGCCTTAGTTCTTGCTGTGGAGGACAGGTCAGGGATTCCAAACAGCCACTGTGCCCTAGGGCTTTTCAAAGTCTGTTCGCAACTTTATTCTTTCAAACAGGCTATGTCCCAAGTTTGTAGCCAGAAAATCCAATAAGACTATGCCAATTGCATTTAAGGCCTGACCAGCATCCTCAGCCTGGACGTATCCTGGGGAGATAAGTGAGTTTTTCATTCAGATGGAGGAGTACGGTAAACAAGTATGATCATGCTTTAAACTGGTACAAAGCATCAAGATTCTTGCTACTAGTCTTAAAATTTATGCTATAAAAATTGTATCAAGATTAACCAGGAATTTTATTTTGGCCATATCTTGTCCATGAAAAGGTATGTGTCAAATTGGTGTAAATATATTTTGTACAGTTCCCCCACTTTGTCTAGATAGAGCTCTTATTTTACCTGTTTACATCTCCCATCTGCAATACCTGCATTCAGGATCACTCACTTAGTATTCTTCATGCACGGCTAGAAAGTCTTAATCTGAATTTACTATGGCCTTTACGAAGACAAACCTTATTCAGGACCTTTCCTGCAAAGCACCACACTGGCAAGTGTAGGCTCACATTTCTAGTGGTCTCTAAGGTCTGGAACTCACTTCACCTTAATGGATATCTTGACTTTTTTCTGACCACATTAAAAAAACACCCTCTCTTTTTTAAACTCTATCCTAACAGGTCTGCAGAATGTCTTTCTAGCCACTCCTCTTATCAGACACTAGCCACTCCTCTTATTAATTATCATAGGATCATATAATTGTTTAGGTAGGAAAAGACCTTTAAGGTCATCAAGTCCAATCATTAACCCAGCACTGCCAAGTCCAAACTTGTATTATCCCAAGTTAACTAAGAAATAAATGTTATGCAGACACTCTGTCCATCCTTGTGTTAATATTCGTGCCTGCTTCTCTGCCTGTCCATGCATACATCTCTTAAGTTTCTTTATAGTGGGTGTAAAGTTAATTACTGTCCCGTAATTGGGATAGAAGAGACAAATTAATGCCAATCTTGAGGGAAGAAAGCAGAATTTATGTACTTTTTATTTGGCAGCAGTCAGCTGAACATGTTCATCTGACTTCTGACTTAGCATAGCACTTTTATCTCTTCTCCAGGATGGGGACATTCACAGGTTATATACAGTGAGTTCAAATATGTCTCGTCAGAAAGGTTAGGAAGCAAAACCCAGAAAATTTGCAGAAGGTGAGGCTTCATCACTTTAATGTGGTAAATAACTTGCAATGAGTTATATAATCTTTGGTGTGTTAGTGGAAATTTGGCCTGTGTTTTATGTAACAGCGATTCATCTCATTGTGTGCTTTAGCAATCTTTTTTGGTGGTGGTGGATTCGATAATTTTAAATTTTGGGGCTGTGTGAAAACTATTCTGCTTTCAAATGTGTCTTTCCTTTGAAAAATGAAGATGTGAAGAAGTATGCCAGGCATTCTAGTTAACCGTGTCTATGTGAACAATTTCTTCTAACCCTGAAGGTTAACATCTCTGTCTTATTTAGAAGCTTGTGACATATTGCACAGGGTTTGCACTCCTTCTTGCTGCTTCTGTATGCGGCACTATCCTGTCCAGAATCCTGACAGAATCTTCTATCAGCTTTTGTATCTTCTGAAAAGAAACCAGCAGGACACTCATACATTGCAATATTTTCTACACCACAGTACGCTGTGGATCAATGGCACTTTAATTGAATCGTTCTTACTCTTCTGTACAAAAAATAACACAATTGCTTTAGACGTGTCTGCTCCCTTTTCGAGCACTCTCACCTTTTCCAGATTTCCTGACCCAATTTGGACTGAAGATTACTCACCACAGTATGCAGTTGCTTTTCTGTTCAAGCGGGTCTGGTGCATGCTAAACTGCTTTGCAGAAGCTGGGATATCTGTACTTTCAGTATCACACTGTCACCAAAATAATGGTAATTTCTGGAATTGTTGGTCTTGACACAAGGAGCATTTGAAAAGTGAAAATAAAATCCTGGGTTGCTTTCAGTGCATTAAATTAGTATTTAATAATGCCTTCTTTAAAAAATAACAAGATACAGTATTTTATCAATGTTCCAATGAAATGCAGCCCACCAAGAACTCAAATAGAATGAAGTTTGAAAATTAGAGGAATGGGGTCATGCTATTTTATAGAAAATAAAAAAAACACCCAGGGCAGAAATCCCAGAAAAATGTACTTGTTGCCTCTTAGAAGTGCCTCAGCATTCAAGAGGTGGCAAACAGGAGCACTGAATGGGAAGAAAAGCAAGAAAACACCACCTCCAGTAAGGAAGTCCACAAGAGATTTTGAGAAGGACCATCCTATTTTCATAGTTTTGCCAATCTGCACTTTGGCAGTTAGTAACTTTGTTGTAGCAGTTGCCTGGGAATTTGAGGCACTGATGAATATTTTATGCATTTGTGTCACATGTTGGACATTCAGAGTGTTTGCACTGACAGATGCTTCTGATGCTAGAAAGACCTAGCTCTACTTTATCTGTCTTATTTACAGGTAGAAGCAATTTAATATTTGTATTTTTTGTCCAGTGCTGCTGCTACTTGTAAAGCTTTTCCTCTGCAGAATTCCCCCCTTCATCATTTCCAAATGTGGGAGTTAGACTAGATCAGTAAAAAGTAAGTTTGCACGTTAATTTTAGATACTGATCACTCAGAAAACATACCAATTTCTAAGAATTAACTTAACTCTTTACTTTTTGCCTAAACAATCTGAGTAGCAAATAAAGTGGGTAGGCATGAGGAAGACTGGCAAATAATGTACTTGAGGCTTTAGGCTTTTCCATCTCTGCAGAAGTCATTCAGATGACCAATGCAGGATTCCTTGCTCTACAAAGCTGTGCCTCTTTTAAGCATCAAAACAGAAGAGAAAATGGAGTAGCTATATGCAAATAGTAAAAATATTCTTTATAAAAAGGAAGAAATTCCTTACTGAGGAACAGGTAAGACAGCTGTCACACAGCAGATAATACCATTTCACAGAGTTTGAAGACAAAGAGCATAATTTTTCTGGAAGTGAGGCAGCATACATATTCACAGTATGGCTGTTTAAGTAGAGAACAAGAGATAAAAGGAAAACATGGATATATCTTACCTTATGGTGAAGCCTTTGTGCAGCTATGTAACTCATTAAGCAATACTGATCAGAAATTACAGCTTAGGGCATTTCCTGATGTTTTCATGACCCACTGAAAATATGAAGAGGTACTAAACCCAGCTGGTCATTAACTCCCCTGTTAATGCCCTGGGCTGATTCATATATAGTCTGTAATAACCAACTGGATTTAGCTTCATTGGGCAATTAAAGCCTCTGAGTTCCTCCTGTTGTGCCATGTTTCTTCTGGTTCGGTGTGAGGATCAGGTTTACATACTTTCCAGCCAGACTGGGACTGTGGTTTCACTCAAAGCAACAGCTTGTTCCAACCACTACTGCGAAGACCTTGTCAAAAGTGCAGACTTCTTCCACAGGTTCTGTAAAAATCCATTTCTCTGTTTCAACTAACAGGAATAAGAGATGATAATAAAAACAGCCACACAGATATTAAGTATTATGATAATTTTGAAGATTGGGGAGTTTTGTTTTGTCCTTACAGGCTCTCTGGTTGTACTTACTGCTTTTTTGTTTAGGTTCTTGCAATACCTGCGAGAACATTATTGTCTTGTGGACAGATTATTATATATAAATTATATGAATGACGTAGCAACTCAAACACAAATCATATTTCCCCATTTATCAGAAAGTCTTTTTCTGATTATATTTTCATGGACTTGAAATCCATTCTGAAATACTAATTTTATGCTTAATCTTAAATAGCATTAAAAAATACCAAAGCAATGGTAATTTCTGCTGAAACCTGCGACTTGTAACTCATTGTGATAAATTCACTGCAGGAAAATACAGGAGAATCAAAACCAGAACCATATTGTATTTTAGTCTGGAAAATTTCTTTTCATCTTGATTGCTGCCATACACTAGATATGATAACTGAAAACTCCCAAGTTTTCCCTATTCCCATGGTCCCCTGGAGAGGTCTGACTCCATATCCTCAGTGCTACAGAGGCTACTTTTAAGCTCCACAGCCCTTCAGCCTACTTGTATTTACAAGACTATATTTTTTTGAAACCGCTTCAAGTGGCAGCTTTCAGTGCTGACCAAAGGAATCCCTGTCTCCTTTCCTCCCTTCTCCCCTACAGTGCGTCATCCTGGCACCTTGCCCATACGTCACCCCGTGGTGTGGGTGAGGTTGCCGCAGCAACAGCACACACTCGGTCACACCCCCTACAGCTGCAGAAGTGTGAGTCAGTTTGACAATTTTGCTAGGTTTTTATTCGTCTGCGATGCGCTGCCCAGCCATCTCCAGTTACTCGCCTGTCCAGTGCTCACAAACCTGCTGGTAACACTTAATGGGATTGCTTTCGGTATTTTCATCTCCATCCTATGGGATGAAATCTCTGTAGATTGGTCCTGGGCGGTCGGTCACCTGCCCAACCCACTGCGCAGAAATTGGCTCGTTCATCAGCCATCCCACAGTTGGGCAATAACTAAGTTGATATTTTCTTTTCGAAGAATGTGTACAGCAGTGGTAGTGAGTAACTACAGAAGAATAAAACTGGAGTTATCTACAGCACATTGTAAAACTTGACTTTCATTCTGTTAAAGCAGTAAGATAACTTTTCACTAATACCTAACTTACAACTCTGCTCATTTTTTCAGACATGGAGATGACTTGATTGTGACACCATTTGCTCAGGTAGGCACAATTTTGCCATATTTCTCACATGATCTTGCAATTTAAAGGCCAAATGGCAAACTAGTTACTTTCTGTTGTTAATATTATGTAACATATGTTTGCCTGAAATGAAAAAAAAAACCCATCTGAACAGAAAGTCATAAACCTCCCATTCTTGTTATCTATACCTCTCTTTTTGGTTATCTGTTGAAGTGCAACAACACGATAAACACCTTTAATTGATCTCTTTTCAAATACTGTAGCAGACAGTCATCATGAAGACAAATCTATGCTGTTATTCTGCTTTTTATAATTACAATTTCTCCTTTTGCGCACCTTTTATGCATTCAATTCAAGGTAATTTTTACATCAGAGATAAATTTTACCCAGAATGTTTAATTTCCTTTACAAAACCATCTCTATTTGTTTGATTTTTTCCATTCAGATTCTGTTTCATAAAATATTGGCTCAAAATTCTATATAATTTAAATGGAAACTCCATGATGTTTAGCAATAGAGCTGTCTTATCATGTATGAAAATTTAACATTGATATTCCTTGAACTCACCCATTTTGATAGGTTTTACTCTGTAAAAGACAGGAATGAAAGTTAATTCAGTTGAACCACAGGGGGAAAAAATATCTCTGGAAGTCATATGTGATTGAAGGTGAATGGAAAGAGAAAGGTTGAGTCACACAGCAGTCTCAAATAAGAACAAGGTGTCCAACTTCAGTCTGAATATGCAGGTTGCTTTGGTCTAATAATACGCTGTTAAAACAATAATATTTCATAGGTTATTATATATTTAATTATGTTGTAAACCGATACAGTGTGTATAAGACACTGCTGATCAAACCCTTAATATGAAGAATACCTTGATCTTTTATGAGCAGAGAAAATATTAAGCCTGAGTCTTTTCTAAAAATATAATAAGATCTCTCAAGTAGTAAATACACTTCAGCAATAATGGAAGAGAAGAAATTACAGGAAAACCAAGAAAAATAAAAAAGTAAAACCACTTCTGGTTTTAGTCCGTGAGGAAACATAAACCCTCTAACACTTGAGCACAGAAAAAATACAAATTTTATGGCGGCCAAGCAATCTAATAATATTTACTATATTTGAGTTCATGTTCATTGTCAGTTGAGTTTTTATTATGAATTATGCCACATAGATAGGACATGTTATAGTATGCCTAGAAAAACAGCAAATACTACAACCCATTTTTTTCCTGGAAAACACACCCTATTATTTTTAAGGATGGTTTTGTATTCTTGTGGTCATTGATGGACATGCTTCAGCAACTAGAGAAGAAGCAGTTGAATATTATTGGTACTTGCACCAAGATGCCGTAATTGGTTATTTGAGAGCTTTTAATATTTCAGTACAAAACCCTGTTAGCACTGGTTTAAATCAACCTGTTTTCATTTGCACTGAAGACTCACAGGGTGAGTTATCACATGTCACATTCCCTGACACAAGGGGAATTGAGATGCAGTTGAGAAAGTGTGCCTAATAGATGGGAAGTGACATCTGATTAGACTCTTAGGAAAAATGTAGCCCTTATCTAAAAATGATTTGAATATGCAAAAGTCCCAGCTCCCAGTGGGGCCTGCTCACAGACTACATTTGCAGTTAAGCACAGGGCCTGTCCCTGTGAGTTACGTTACCAGTGTTAGGACCTCACTAAGGACTTCAGAAATTAGATCCCAAGTGCCAGTACAATGCCTATGTATCATACAAACTACCCTTTTAATATCTTCCTACACCAATATTTCATTATGTAGATGCATTTTTGTGTTACAAACAGCAAAAGCACCATTTTAATCTGTTCGGGGCTTCCTGGTGGCTAGGTATGTGGAACACAAGTTCCAGTTATTTCAAACCATCCATATTTTCTTCAATTGATCAGGAGGCTTGTTTCATCTGATCATGAGCCTCCTGGTGGTTATAGTTACAATTTTAATCTTTCAGTTTCTATTCAGCACATCACAGTGGTAGTGCGGCTGCATTTATTAACTAGGGGTAGGGTGGCATGCTGTGTCCCCCACAGAGAATCTGGCCTCAGGACAAGCTAATTTACTATTTTTACCAGAATGGAATTTTGTAAGCTAAAATTTAAAAAATCTATCACAAGGATATTATTAGTTGCACTTCCTAGTATTGTAATATACAGAAACTGCTGTAACTTAATTATTCGTAGAATTTCACTTTTCAAAATAAAATCATTTGAGTGATTTGAAATTTAAGGCTAAATTCTTTTGTCTTTTTATCATCAAAAAAGTTTGATTTTTTAATTTATTTTAATTTATTTGCAATTGTTTGTGTAGAACTTGATTTTGAAAATAATGTTATTTACTTAGGAATTAAACCTAAAGAGGTTTGTAGGTGACTGGTTGCTTTTTGATCACAAATATAACTCTAGAAACATTAATCACAAGTGGAACCTCTGGACAGAGAAACTGTCACTTAAAGCAAATTATAATTAAGAATTCAAATTTTATTTTATGTACCTACAGTATAATATAATAGACTTATAAACATTAATACCTTTATACAATAAATCAAGTTGTTTAGATCCACTGTGGCAAATGGCCAAAGTTTTTATTGTCACTTTTACATTCATTTCTAGGTATGTGGGAATGCCTTGCACTTGCAGAAACTGTCAAAATATGTGCATGTATGCTAAATCAGATGGGATGATGGGCAGATACTGGACATTTCACCCCTGGACCTACAAAACAGTTATCTCACCTGTCAGAAGAACAAATAGAAGGACATACAAACCAGTCATTCTTATCTCCTGAATATTTTCTGTCTGTTACAAGCTTTCACTAAATCCTTCTTTCCTCTTCAGCCTCTTATCCCCTTCCTACCTCATGTATATATTTAAGGGGCTATAAAAAGATGGTTGTACCCTCCTTGACTCAGACCTGTGGAACCCAAATTCCTATTCCTGCCTTTGTTATTCCTAAGAAGGGCTCATCAGGGAACTAGCCCAGTCTGGGCTGAGAAACAACAATGGACAACTCCTGCAAAGACACAGCAGTGATAAACTTCCTCCTGTTCCCAGTCTGGTTCCAAACAACTCATCGTTCCTCTCTGACATCAGCTGAACTGCCTCTCCCTAGTTGGAGAGGTGCATCTTATTATCCTTACATGGTACAAAATTTGTTGCATTTATCCAACTGCCTTCAGGAGACCTAAAACACCTATAACAAGAAGACACTTCTCTACAGCCTCCGCTAGCTGCTGTCTTGCATGAAATTAAGGCCGGAAAGGAAGTAGTTAATTTATGTCGTCTTTCCCAAAGTGCAAAACTTGTAAGAGCCTGCAGACATTTCCCACCTGCTCAGACGATACCTTCCTCTTACTCTGGCCTTCTGCACTAAGTCCCCAAATCAACTGCACCCCTTAAAGGAGCCACTTTTATTTTTCCTGACAGTCTAGACAATCTCATTCCCTTTGTCCTTTGAGGTTTGTGGGGGCTGAATTGCAAGTGGAAGATTCTGTAATAATTTCTTATGCATGAAATATTAGGCTTGAATGAGCTATTCCCAACATGAATACTTTTATGGCCATTTTAAAGAACTAAGTAGTATTGGTGAAAAACTTTCCTCCTCTTCGACTAAGTCTGCCTTTAAACAAATAATGAGTTGTTTATGAGGAAAAAAAAAAAGAAATAAAAGATTGCCCTTGTATTACAGACATGTTATTGTTAAATAAAGGTCAAAGGCTTCAGACAAACCAACCCTGGAAGCCTCTTACAGTTGTTTTGCAATACCCATTCCTTTTTCTTTCAGCACAGTGGAGCAGAGATAAATCAGACTCATCTGTTCAGAAATTTAGACTGAAACCATTTTGTCTGTTCCAGGTGCTGGCCAGCCTGCGTACTGTACGGAATAACTTTGCTGCATTAACGAATTTACAAGATCGGGCACCCAGCAAGTGAGTGACAATTTTTGGCCACTGAACTTTTTGCAGTGATACTTTAAAAGTGTAAACTATGAATAACAATTAGATGTTACAGATGTCAGTCTGTGCCACCAAACCTGCATAAGACATGTGGATGAGTAATGAGTTTGTTAATCCCTTGAAGATGTTATACTTGATAACTGGGATGACAGCCCCCTTGCGTACTAATTGCTCTTGCACTGCTGCCCTTGCACAAAATAGGAGTGTTTTTGTGCAATTTATATGATTTTCAATAAATTAGTCCTATGTCAAAGATCATTCAAAGATGATCATTCAGTCATAGTTCAAGTCTTGCAAATGAACAAAAGCGAGCAGACAGCTACACTTACTGTAAGCTACTTGCATGATCTGAACCTGGAACTCTGCCTAACTCATCCAAGACAATGACATCCCACTTACCCACAGTAGGTCATGATTATAAATTAGACATTATAAATATGATCATTCTCCAATTATGTTACAGCATCACAGTTAACATTAACATTAGTTACACTGGCAAATTTTGTAGTGGAATCATTTCCCTCACCCAAAATGTGCGTCTTTAGAACTTATAACTAATTAGCATTCCAAAGACAGCTGCCTCCTGTTGCATATGCAGTACCCCTAGAAGATATTTCCAGCCCCCTTGATTGGGATAAGCAGACCCTATGTGTCCCCTGCTTGCAATCATCCACACATTATTTTGTGTGGATGACTTACACACAGCTGTGTCAGTCCAGCAACTTCTAGCTTTCTTCAATGGGCAAAGCGGTCCACTGAGCTGTTTGCCCTAAAGATTACTGTGAAAGGCATACACAAAATAATGTGTGAAATGTATATGCAAAATAATACAGTGAAAAATAATTTTTTAAAAAAATTTCAAGTCAAAGAATGTGGGAAGTGCAAGCCATGTCAGTATAATGATAACTATGTCTATAAATCAAACTTTAGGCTAGGTATAAACTCTAGGTATGATTAGGCAGGTTTTTTATGAACTTGTAATTCCTAAAATATTCCTCTCTTGGAGTTTCCAATCTGCAGAGAGGTTTCAGGGTCAGTTGTGAATTCCCTTCTACACTAGAAACAAGAATCTGTTCTAAATGAACATTTGATTTGGCAATGCTAGGGTTTTCTAGTCACAAATAATTTCCCAAGGAAATGTATTTTCTATTACTTTGTTCAAGGATTGAGTCATCTCTGTGTTTATCAGGTTTATATCTTTTTTTTCTTTTCTTCTAAACAGACGATCACCAATGTGTAACCAACCATCTATTAACAAAGCAACTATAACTGGTAAGAAGAACATGACTAAAATTCCTCTGTGAAACCATCATGGGTTTCTAAATTTAGTATTTATTTATAAAAATATCTCACTGAAAACTGCATTTTATTATAAAAACCTTATATTTTTTCCTGTCCTTATATCTGCTTTATTAAAGAAGATTTGAGTCATGTGGTGACTCAAATTGGTGACTTTTAGCATTATATTATGTTAGCTTTCTGATTTCTGTCTTACTACCCTAGTTTTAATTTCTCTCTCAATTTTTTTTTTCTTTATGTACTAGTGTATGATTGTGCCATGATTACCTTCATTAGTAACTTTTTGCAATGAAATCTAGTAGAAAGAACTGGTATGAGGAATGTATTCAACTTTTATTTGGGACATGGAGTTCTGTAGCTATACCGAGGCAAAGTCTTCGCATTACAAGCCCTTAGGCAATAAGTAGAAATTTCAAATCTGACTTTTCTGATTTAGGATGGTAAATTCTATTTCCATAACATTTGTAGGTGTGTAAGGGCAAAAAAAAAAAATGCCTTTGTTAAAGACACTATTATTTCTAAGGAAACATTAACTTGAAAACAGGACTGGCGTTGTAAGTTATGTGAGCAGTTCCGAAAATTTTACCCTGCGGCACTTCTGGTTATTACTATGGCAACTTGGTCTTGGACGTCTTTATGGGAACACATTTTATTTGACCTCTTATTTTTTACATCATGTTAATCCATGTCTTCTTATACTGTGTAATTTTCCAGGTAGTTATATTCTTTATGGTGTGTTGGCAGAGTGAAAGAGCATTTGCTTTGCCTCTGGACGAAAGCATACAGACACTTACTAAACAGGCAATTTATCATTTAAACAAAAAACTTAATGTTTCCACAATTTTCAAAATCACTTTTGTGTTTTTAATTGTGTAATGGATTTGTAACTCAAGGAAGAAATGATACTTAAGCTCTTTTGAGGAGAAGCGTGGCTTTGTCATGTTCAATAGTTTCTGTCTTTAGGCTCTGGAATACGTTAAGATTGTTAGGTTTTTTCATCTAGTCTCACATAATATCCATATTTACCTCTAGAAGATCCAATCTTGGCAGTTCTGTAGAACTTTCTTTTTCTGGGAACTCATGGTGTAATCTGGGCATTTCTGTGTAGGACTTGTGTAGGGAAAAAAAAACAGAGTTCAATGTTTGAAAAAGCATCCTCAGTTAAGAATGCACTTCAATCATACTTAAATTCATGGTAATTAAATAAATAAGAAGAGGAGACAGATAAATACTTGAATCAATTATAATCATAATCCTTTGTTAATATATTCCTTTAAGAGGTAATTTTGGGCATCGGTTTCAAATTACTCTCTATGAGACGTTTCAGTTATTGATAGATGTTACACATATTTTTAATTGTGGAATTTGTCTTACACACACAGTTATCCCAAAGCCTGTTATCTTAACTGGAGATATAGATACTGGAAAATAGGGCCCTTTCTTTGGTCCCAAGGGACTAACTTCAGAAAGCTTGCAACACAGTAAAATCCCTGACAGTAAAAGAAAATATGATAACCAGAAGAGAAGATATACATGCATGTGAACACACAGCATGCTTACCTTACGTGGCTTTCCCACAGTTGTTTGCCTGAGGTCAGCTTCTTTTCTCTAGAAGGAGAAGCTGCTCAGACAGCAGAACCCGAGACACACTCTGCTGGAAGATGCTATTGCTCTTTCTAAATTCCTCCCAATCTGAAGGTTTCCATTCAGTTAAACCTCAGAGTGCACTCTACACATCAGAGGCAATAAATAATCTGAAGTTTTAATGGTTAGAAGGAAGGTGGTGCAGTCAGTGCTGCAATTACTCCAGAAAATGCTTCTGTGCCAAGAAATTTAAAGGAAGCAAGAGAAGACAAAGAAGAGTAAGGACAATTTAATCTAATTTAGTTTAATATGATTTGTCAGAGATGCTGCTGGAATTGCTGTGCCCAAATTATGCATTGAAGTGGGTGAGCTAGGGCCTGTGTGCATTGGATGTAAGTGGCTAAAAGACTTTAATGATACAGGAAAGATATTGGGCCACTATAAAGCATGAAAATGGCTCCAATTAATTTTGACTGTTGAATGGATATTGAGGATGGATACTATTTTGCCTGAACGTATTTGTCCGTTCTTAGTCATAGACTGTTTTTGATATTTCCATAGCACATATTTCATGGCATAAGCACAGTGCATAGAGGCTTTCTTAACGCATATAAAAATCCTAATAAAACGTGTTGCACTACAGCACGATGCCAAGAAGGAAGATACATTACAAATACTTTTCCTGCTCTTCACTGAATGGTTGAAAACCCTTTCAGACGCTACTCAGCTTTTTGAATTCTTCTATGGAATATTTGAAATGTAGCT